TTTAATTCTCAATTTTATTTTTATTTTGTTGATAAATAATTCCAAAATTTTTTCAATGTTTCATGTTACTATACTTTTTGTTGACCATATTGCTATTTTTTCTAATTGATCATGTTACTATTTTCTATTGAGCAAGTTATTACAATTTCAGTATTACTTTTTTGGATGCTAAAGAATTTGAGGCTTCTTCTTCTAGTTATGGGTTTGAATGCTACTATTTTTATTTTCAATTTTGTTCAATATTCTATAATGCTATTTTTTTTTTTAGCATGTTACTGTTTTTAATAAACATGTTACTATTTTTGTTGACCATATTGTTATAGTTATTTTTTTAAAATATTAATATTGAATATTACTATTTTTTTATGTTTAAATGTCACTGTTTTTTTGTATTTAATAACCCATCTCTGAAGTCACGATGAAATATAAAATTCAAGCGCCCAAAAAATCAATCCAACTATATTAAATTTTTTTATCATGTGTATATTATCGTATATGAATAATACTTGAAATAAAAATTATGTTAAACTATAAATTAATCAAATATTAAATAATTGAACATATAATGAAAATAAGTGATGTGATATTTTTAAGAGGAAAAATATATAGGACATAAAAATTCAAATTGCTATGTGGTTATTTATATATATGAGAGATATAATCCTAACCTATATATGGATACAGATAGATATGAGAAAAAAAAATTTAATGTTAATCAAACTCTTAAAATTTAAGAGTTTTTTATTTTTAATTTTACTTCACTTCTAAAGGGAAGGGATAGTCTTGTAAAATTGATAAAAAATAGATTTCATAACAAATAATTTTAAATCTAAATCTATATAATAAAGTAGAGTTGGGTTTAAATTTTGGAGATAAAGAGAAGTCTAAATCATTTTGAGACAAAATATAAACACATCGAACAGACAACGTAATCCCAAAATAAAAGATAGTTCAGATCATCTCATAAATACTGATCCGACGATCATAATTGGACTAAACTCTAACACTCATATCTCTCATATAACTTTCTCTCTTATCTCTTAGACGTTTTAAACACACTATCTCATCTCCTTTCTCTCTCTCTCTATATATATATATATTAGTCATTGTCCGTGCCTAAAGGCACTATGTTACTTATAAAATTTCAACACACAAAGATAGGATGTTTAAATAATTTCAACACATAACGATTAGATTGGTTTGAAACATTTTTTGTTAGTGCAATTGGTATCTTATTTTTTTTTGTATTGGTCACTTATTTTTTTTCTAATTGCTGATTAACTTGGGCTTGAAATTTTTTTTTAATTTTCTGAGAACTATAGGTTTTTATACAGTAGTGATTTATTTTTTGTATGAATAATAACTTGATGATTTTATTTATGGATTATAAAGACAATTTAAACTTCATTGATTGATAAGAAGTAAGAAGTAAATATCAACTATCAGTACTAAGATGCGTGATAAGAAGATCTACTTACAGTGTACTCTAGGTATGAATCAGTTTGTAATAAGAAAGATGAAAAATTATATAGTAAGTATATAATGATTTTTAATAAAATATTATACTAAAGGTTTTGAAAAAATCGATATACTAAATAACTTATATGTCCAAAAATGGTGACATTGTCCATTTGGGTACTGGTTTTTGTGTTGTAGTGACAGTGTGTATGCGATTATTGAGGTCAAATATTCAACTGTCAAACTTTGAAAAAGAAGCACTAAACTTAGAGATATTATGTATTTTATATGTGTTTAATAGAAATATTTTTAATTTTATGCAAAATTTTATCGTAAAATTAGAAATTAAACAAAACCAACCTAAATCAAGGTACAAACAATACACTTTCAACATATAACATTTAACAACAATTAGTTAATGACAATACATCCACAACTAAACCACACGAACATTAAAAATTAAAAACAATAAACTATTGTCAAAGCATACATCACTAAACCAACACAAAAAAATCATCAATATTCATAAACACACAGAAATGTTAAACATTTGCTAACTGCACAATTATAAAATTAAACATAAAATATTTGATAACTACCCACATAATCAGTTTGTCATCCTCCATAAAGCACACACCTCCAAAATTCCAACCAATAGGAATTGAGTATTGAAGCCTTACATAAGGCTAAACTCCATTTATACAATTTATGCTAGAAAGTAAATAGAGAGGAAAAAATTAGTTATAAATAATTGGTAATTCTAACATTAGTTATAGGTATAGACTCCACACATGATCTAATAAATGTTTCAAAGATGCCTTAAAGTTATATGAAGAATAAGAATTTTCAGAAAAGTTCTGGGGTTATAATATTATTTTTGAAACTTAAGGAATATTAATGATGTTTCTAAAAATTAAGGGGTAAAAATGTAAATACACTAAAATTATGGGGGTATAAATGAAATTTGAGATCGTTTTCCTTGCTTTCTTTTCCAGACGATGGGAAACCATTATTGACAATTTTAAGATGTACATTTTTTGTTTGATTTATCCACTTGGACGATTATTTTGAATTGTTATCACTAAAAATCCATCAATATAATTCAACTGTGGGTGAATGGTGGCTAGGGGCAGTGGCGGTGGAGAGGAGCAAAGGCAGTGGTTTACATTGCTTGGGTTGTGGGCGATATCTATGCATCAGTTTCACACCTATTATTATATCAGCCAAGTTGCTACACCATCAAATAAATTACTTTATAATTGGCCAAAACCCAAATGGGGTGGTAGTATTTTTTTTCACTATTTATTTTTATTTTATTGATTTCTGCGAGACTAATGAAACTTGCAACGTTTGCTTCAATTGCATGGTAATTGTACCAGTGTCAATATATACACATATTCACACTTACCAGAGATGGAAAGATTACCAGCGAGAGTACTTCTGGAAGTTAGATCACCGCCAATACAATTTAGATGGAAGAGAGTGGATGGTCGAAGTGGGTAAATCCAGTGCGTCTCCAGATTATGTCGTGCATCGCTGAAGAAGGTCTGTCCATCGTTAGAGTTTGCACATAGATATAAGAGACTGAGGAGGATGACAATGATTTCTAAGAAACTAAGAGAGGTGAGACGGTAAATGGGTGAAAGAGAAAAAGTTTGTACTGTGTGTTAGACAAAATGGATGACGTTTGGGTGTAGTTAAATTGGGTGGGATTTCATTTTTGTGTGGGATGTGTTGTGAGCTATTGGATTAAGTTTGATGAATTTAGACGAAATTTAGATCATTTAATTTAAAATGAATTCAATCTGAGTTATTATTGTGCTTTTTCAATTTAAGATAGAGACGTATGAGAGATAGGAGTGTAGAGTCTTATGATAAGAGACTTCTTCATAGGCGAAAAAAAAAATTCAAGATTAACTATAGACCGTTAGATCAAAATTTTTGAGATGATCTGAACCGTCTTTTATATTGAGATTACGTTGTCAGTTGGATGTGTTTATATTTTGTCTCAAAACGAACGGGACCTCTCTTTGTCTTTTGGATTTAAACTTTGTCCTACTTTATTATATAGATATATTTATATATAATAAAGTAGCTAGATTCAAAACCAATCTAACCGTCATACCACTTCCACACAAACAAAAAGTATAAATATACGATGCATAAATAAAATCATAAAGTTATTATTTATACTAAAAATAAACCACTACTATATGAAAACTTGTAGTTCTCAAAAAAGAAAAAGAAAACAAAGCCTAGTCTAATCACCAATAAAAAAAATAAGTGACTAATAAAAAATAACAAGTATTATCAATTGCACAAAAAAAAATTCAAAACCAATCTAATAGTCATCACCACTTTCACACAAACAAAAAATAAAAATATCTAATTTATAAGTAAAACCTTCGATCTATTATTCATACTTAATCACCACTTTACTCAAAATTACATAAAAATTTATAGTTCTCAAAAATTTAATTTTTATTGAAAGTGAACAAAACATATTGTTGATTGTCATAAATGATTAGTTAAAAAAATATGTATTACAAATTTTGTTAATAGCAAAACATCTCATTATTTCATGTTGATTATTTTTTTTATTCAATTTTTATAACTGGGTAGTTATCAAATATTTTGTGTTTAATTTTTATAACTGTGTAGTTAGCAAATGTTTAACATTTATACGTGTTTATGAATATTGATGATTTTTTCGTGTTGGTTTAATAATGTATGATTTGGCAATAATTTGTTGTTTTTAATTTTTAATGTTCGTGTGGTTTAGTTGTGGATATATATTGTCATTAACTAATTGTTGTTAAATGTTATATGTGAAAAGTGCATTGTTTATATCTTGATTTAAGTTGGTTTTGTTTAATTTCTAATTTTACGATAAAATATTGCATAAAATTAAAAAGATTTCTATTAAATACACATAAAATACATAATATCTCAAAATTTAGTGTTTCTTTTTTTAAGATTTGTCAGTTTACGTTTGACTCCAATAACCTCATACACACCATCATTATAACACAAAAATCAATACTCAAATGGACAATATCACCATTTTTAGACATATAAGTTATTTGGTATATCGATTTTTTTAAAACCTTTAGAATAATATATCCTTAAAAACCATTATATACTTACTTTATAATTTTTCATCTTTTTTATTACAAACAGATTCATACAAAAAAAAAAAACCACTACTATATGAAAACTTATAGTTCTCAAAAAAAAAAAAAAAATCAAAACCCAAGCTAATCAATAATTAAAAAAAAAATAGGTGACCAATAAAACAAAAATAAGATACAAATTGCACTAACAAAAAATGTTCAAAATCAATCTAATCGCTATATGTTGAAATTATTCAACGACCTATCATTATGTGTTAAAATTTTATAATAAAGGCAATGACTAGCTTCCAAATTTCCCAATTTTCTATTTTTATTGTTTGGATGAGAAGAAGTAAAGATTTCAATCACTGTTCGACAAAATGACAGAATGAAATAAGTCTCCAAGCAGTAGTTTTTCCAAGAGAGCACTTACTTACAGCCGCCTTTACAGAAGCAGACTATTCTCCTTGAGCTGCTGTCGTATCCACACCGTCCACCTGTCTGATTACAAGTCGTACAATCCTCAATAGTTAGCCATTCCAACGGAAACCCATCGCTCAACACCTCAAACACAAGCTTCATCTGCCGATCACCGGAGCCACCACGGCCGCCGCTTCCATTCAGAAACCCATATCTAGACAAGCTCGCTCTAAATACCGGCAGAGTCACCAACTGGCACCCACCTGGGGTCTCCACTGGCCTGCCTCTCGGAGGTACCAATCGAGTCAAATTCCAACTCTCATCTTCCCATAGATAAACCCAATTCCCCTCTCTACAACTGTAATTCCCCACAACTCTCGTAGATGAATTAAGCTCAATCCCATGAGGGCACTTAAAGAAGCTGAAGTTGGTGTCCCATGAAGGAAGCCTGAGGAATGGTCCGCCGTCTATGACGGTGGAAATGGTGATATTTTGGAGTGACCCACATGAGTTGGTACGGAGGTCTCCGATGAGCTGATGATCAACAATGGTAATGAGGNGGTTGTTGTTTTTAATTTTTAATGTTCGTGTGGTTTAGTTGTGGATATATATTGTCATTAACTAATTGTTGTTAAATGTTATATGTGAAAAGTGCATTGTTTATATCTTGATTTAAGTTGGTTTTGTTTAATTTCTAATTTTACGATAAAATATTGCATAAAATTAAAAAGATTTCTATTAAATACACATAAAATACATAATATCTCAAAATTTAGTGTTTCTTTTTTTAAGATTTGTCAGTTTACGTTTGACTCCAATAACCTCATACACACCATCATTATAACACAAAAATCAATACTCAAATGGACAATATCACCATTTTTAGACATATAAGTTATTTGGTATATCGATTTTTTTAAAACCTTTAGAATAATATATCCTTAAAAACCATTATATACTTACTTTATAATTTTTCATCTTTTTTATTACAAACAGATTCATACAAAAAAAAAAAACCACTACTATATGAAAACTTATAGTTCTCAAAAAAAAAAAAAAAAACAAAACCCAAGCTAATCAATAATTAAAAAAAAATAGGTGACCAATAAAAAAAAAAAAAAGATACAAATTGCACTAACAAAAAATGTTCAAAATCAATCTAATCGCTATATGTTGAAATTATTCAACGACCTATCATTATGTGTTAAAATTTTATAATAAAGGCAATGACTAGCTTCCAAATTTCCCAATTTTCTATTTTTATTGTTTGGATGAGAAGAAGTAAAGATTTCAATCACTGTTCGACAAAATGACAGAATGAAATAAGTCTCCAAGCAGTAGTTTTTCCAAGAGAGCACTTACTTACAGCCGCCTTTACAGAAGCAGACTATTCTCCCCGAGCTGCTGTCGTATCCACACCGTCCACCTGTCTGATTACAAGTCGTACAATCCTCAATAGTTAGCCATTCCAACGGAAACCCATCGCTCAACACCTCAAACACAAGCTTCATCTGCCGATCACCGGAGCCACCACGGCCGCCGCTTCCATTCAGAAACCCATATCTAGACAAGCTCGCTCTAAATACCGGCAGAGTCACCAACTGGCACCCACCTGGGGTCTCCACTGGCCTGCCTCTCGGAGGTACCAATCGAGTCAAATTCCAACTCTCATCTTCCCATAGATAAACCCAATTCCCCTCTCTACAACTGTAATTCCCCACAACTCTCGTAGATGAATTAAGCTCAATCCCATGAGGGCACTTAAAGAAGCTGAAGTTGGTGTCCCATGAAGGAAGCCTGAGGAATGGTCCGCCGTCTATGACGGTGGAAATGGTGATATTTTGGAGTGACCCACATGAGTTGGTACGGAGGTCTCCGATGAGCTGATGATCAACAATGGTAATGAGGTTTTCTGAGGTATAGACGTCCTTGATTCGGTAGAGTCGGCCAGAGAGCTCGAGTCCGGGGAGAGAAGTGATATTATCGCAGGAGATTTGGAAACGAGGGAGGCCACAGTCGAACCTGCGAGAACCGAAGGTCTCGGAAGACGAGAAAGGGAAGGAGAAATTTATGTTGCCGCAAACAAATGGTGCACAGAGATCGTAGTAGAATGAATCACTGTTCTGTGATTTGGTGGTGGGTATGATTAACAGTAGGAGTGTGGTAGGGAGGAGGGAGATGAGAGAAAGTGACGTTTTAGCCATCTGGTTTGGAAGGTTTTACGGAGTTTTCTTTCGTGTGAATTAAATGCCTACTGCAATCCCAAGGTTGCCTTCTGCTTCATGGGTCTTTCTGTCCAGATAATTTTACTAAATTGTTTACCATATTCAATGAGATTTTTTTTATTTTTTAAATTTTTTTACATATTAAACTTTGGATCGGTTAAAATTTGATTCGAACTAATTAAAATTTATTTTTAATATATTAAAATTTGAGTGGATTAAAAATTATATTTTTTTAAATATTAAAATTTAACCTGATTAAAATTCTATTCGAGATTCAAATCAAATTTTAATCAACTTACATTAAATTTTAATCGGCCTAATTTTTGATATATAAAAAAATAAAAATTTTAATTGAATCAAATTTTAATACATAAAAAAAAATTAGTAAATAAAATTAAATAATTTTTAATCAATTTGAAACGAATTTTAATTGGAAATGACAACTAAACTCAAATTAGGTCGAATTTTAATACGCAAAAAAAAACTTTTAATAGGATCAAATTTTAATATGTAGAAAAAAAAAACTTCATCAACTCAAATTTTAGTAAGTAAAAAAAATTAATCAGCTCGAATTTTAATATGTAGAAAAATAAATTTTAATCAGCTCAATTTTTAATCTAATTTTATGTATAAAGATTGTTTGGGATTTATGTATGGATAATTTTGGTATTTAAGATAATTTATTTTTGTTATAAATGGTGATTTAATGTTAAAGGATGTCATGCTTAAATATAAATTAAAAAAGGGGTCACAATGTTTTACATAATAGAGAAGATATCCTTGAAAATATAATAAACTAAAAAAGTGTGGCTGAAATTTTTTCTATATACTAAGACTTAATTTTGGTATATAATGAATAATGTAGGACAAACATATGGAACCAAAAATCAAATTATAAATCTTGGTGATTATTGACGTATGTGAATAGTATTTTTTTTTAACGATCAAGAATGTTCGGGTTAAGTTATATGTACTAAATGATGATTATTGATATATGTAAATTAGGAGTGACAATTTTTGGCTAGACACGACTCAAACTCGACACAAATTTTATGACACGAACTTGATTATAATTCGACATGAATTCGAAAATGACTTGACACATGAATATAAAATATAAATGGATCATGTTCGGATTCAACCCTTCAAACCCGAAATTGGCACGATCAACCCGTTTATTTAAGAATTGACACCTTCTTTATTTTCTCGTTTGTATGATAACATGAATAACATGAATTAACACGATCAACATATTTAATTAGTATTATATAAATAAAATATTAATTATTTTTAACTGTTTATGAAGTAATGATATAATTATTGTATACCAAATATATTTTACTTATTATTATTATGTTGATTTTTAGTTTGTAGAAAAAGTATGAGTTATACACTTTAAAGATGTTATCATCAAACACATTTTTATATACCAACAATGTTCGACATGGATTATACGTAAGTAAGTTTAAATACTATTATTTTTATAAAAAAATAAATTATATGTGTGATTAAATTAAATAATAAATTATTTGTCGAATAATTAATTCATATTTTAATTATTAATTTATTCTATAAGTTTTTGAATATATATTTGTCATTTATTTAGGTATATTTCCGATCCTTTTTAGGCATTTGATTAAATCGCTCATAATATTATGATGTTATTATATACTAAAAAATAAAATATAACATATATTTGACCATATTTGACTTTACTTGTTCATATAGATATAAATAATTGTATCATGTATGTAATTGTACTATTAATAAACGAGTTTAAAATAATTTAAAAGTCCTTATAAAAAAGAGCTAAAAATTAAGTTAAAAGTTAAAGAGATGTAAAAATAAACAATTAGATGAAAGTATATAAATGGATATAATTGACTTTATTATAATAATTAAGAACAAAATCAAAAATCAAAATTTTTTCACAAGATACAAATATTTTAAGTAATATAGATATAGATATCTTAATTCATAAGTAGTTTCAAACACATGGACTACACATCTTATATTTTTTAAAAGTTCATACCAAAAAGTTTATTTGGTAAAGTCTATCCTTCAAATAGACTTTTAAGCCAAATGTGTGTGCACGGTTTTGCACAATATAAACATAAGAACAGATCTCTTTCGTGGTGAATACGAGTTCGTCAATCAAGTGGTCAATCTTGCTACTTGGAACAGGTCGTAAGGGTCGGAGGTGACCTGAGAAATGGTAATGAATAGTTTCTATGGGTCACCAGATTGGTCTTGTGAGGCTAAGAGAGGTTCATGTAACAGAGAAAGACAGGTTAGAAAGGCGTCAGAGTATTTTTCGGCGTATTCCCTCCGACGATCAAGTCAGTTCCTTGAGAGAGGAGAAGAAGAAAACACTGTATGATGCTTAAGAAAGGGTTTTTTGCGTACCTCATTAATGTGTTTGTAATGTTTATTTATACTTTATAAAACTCATCATTGCTGACAACGTAGTTAGTAGGTAATCATTAGAGATGGACAGTGTGCACACTAATTTCTATGAGAAATGTCCTCATTCATAACTGTTCGGGACCCCGAACAACTAATGCTTTCTCCTCGGCCTACCGAATGTTTAATGACTTTCTCTCGGCAAGGAGGTATTAAATGTTCAGGCATAGGAACATTCATTACCTTTCGCTTTCTAGGCTCTTATGCATTAAATGCGGTCTCATCAAGGGAAGGATGCATTAAATGCCTGTTCTCCCAAGTCGTGTGTCAACAAGGGCATTCTGGTCTTTTTGTCTATGATCTGACACAATATGCCACGTACCCATACCCCTTTGGTTGAACCTTCTGCTTTCTTGTGCCTCCTGACACCATTTGAGTAAGACGAGGTCATGATGACTAGTCTAGGCTAGTGATTTGTCCATCAATAGCCCCTATAGGAGCAGAAACGTTCATGTGGACAGACACACCTCGGTGCTAAGAAACTAGAATGATTAGGACCGATATACCCAAACTGTCGAGGAATACGTGTCGGTCCAGAGTGTGTTGGGGATCCTTGGTCCCTATGAATAGTATCCTCTGGGCAGGGGTTATAAACCGACGAAGATGTGTCGAGATCACAGCGGAGAGTCTCCATTGATGTCGAGTACACGTGTCATCATCTGGGAGTGTCTGAAAATGTCTCATCAACAGCCCCCAACTTTCGATCTTCTAACGCCGAGGACACGCGTCGTAAGAAAACAAAGGGTGCTGCAACTGCCCCAACTACCCCATCATTGTTTTCAGCCGTTTTCTGCTGCTTAAGGGCTTGTGCGCATTAAATGCGCCTCTCCATGCTTCGTGCCCAATGATTGGAACGGGTGCTATATAAATGGGTTTTCTCTCTCTTTCCCACACTTTACCATTTTCCAACTCAGAAAGCTTTCGCCGAAAAACTTCGCTGGAGACCCTCTCGTCACATCGTCTACCAGTCAGTCATCACCGGAGTTTAGACCAGCAAACTCCCTCTTGCTTCTGAACCTTCCTCGAGAAAGGAACCACTCCAAGTTCTTCAGAAATCTTCGTTTGCATTCTAGTGAGTCCTTGCATCCCCTTTCTTTCCATCCTTCTTTTGGGTTTTGCTTTTCATTCTCCGATAACCGGAGGTGTTTCTGGTTGTCATCGTTTGACCAACCCTCAAGAAACCTCTCGGGGTTCCTTGTAGGAAAATTCTTTTTCCTTCCCCTTTTCTTTTTATTTTAATTGGAGATGCCCCCACGCCGCCCTGTTACCGAGGACCCCCAGGCTAGTTCCTCGAGGCCAGGGAAGTACAAAGTGAAGGGAGACCAGCAGATCAATAGGTTTAGGGCCCGATATCACATCCCCCAAAACGTAGGTATAGAAGAGTACGATCCAGTTTTGCATAACCGTAATCTCGGGGCCGAGGATAAGATGCCCTTTTACACCAAAGCAATCATAGAGGGTGGAATTAGGTTCCCTCTGCTTCCTCTGCTCCTCCAGTTCATTTCTCATTTCAACCTCTTCTCGGGGCAGTGTTGTCTTAATGTATTTAGAATAATAATGGGGGTCTTAGAGCTTAATGACCGCCTCGGGATAAACGTTGGGTTCAACGATATCCTTTTTAGCTACTCCCTATTGAGGGTCATGCCCCAGTAGAACTTCTACCTCAAGGCCAGGGATCTATCCATGTACCTTGTAACTCACCTCCTTGATTCGGATAAAGGGTACAAGAACGACCTTTTGATCTTCAGCGGATCTTGGGAGAAGGGAACCGGTCCCGAGTACGATGGTCTAAGGTGCCATCTTGAATGAAGAACGGCAAGTACGTTAGTTTCTTCGAGTCCAGTTTTTCACTATCCTTGGGATATTTTGTAAGTGTTAATAACCTTCTTTCTTGTGCAGACGTCTCCGCCCGAGAAGTCACTCCTCCTCCTCGGTCTTTGGTGAACTTTGTTGACCTCATCACTGTTTAGAAGTTTGTCGGCGACGACAGGTTTGGCGGGGCCGTTCATCTTCTTCTAGACTACACAATAGGGTATAAAAAGTTTTCACAGCTCCCCTAACCTTTTAACCCTTCGCAGTGCTCTGAACTCTTTGATCAAACGGCGCAAAAAGAGGCCAAACAGAACTTGGAGGAAGACCCTGAGGAGTTCGGGGCCAGAGAGATTTTTATTCCTTCGCACGCCGAGGTGGGTACCTCAGGGAGAGATTCGTGGCCCGACTTCAACATCTTCTAGTCCCTGGACTCCGAGGACGCCTTTGAGGTAGCCATGTCACATACGTCCCACATAGACTTGGATTTTCTGAGGCAGAGACAGACCCTTGCCACAGGGAGAGGACGGGGGTCAACCAGCAGTGCCCCATCAATAGGGACCGGCGCCAACCCCCCACCTTCGAGGGCCGCTGGTCGCGGTCAGGTGCGTGACAGAGATCCCCAATCTGAGGAGGAGAGAAGGGTCAAGCTAAGGCACGACGGCCTTGGTAGGGGTTCTAGGGCCCCCTCCGCTCAACAGCAAAGC